CACTCTCGTCCGAAGCCAGGTCAATGACGCCATGCCACCTTTTGTCTTTGGCATTAGAAATGTCCAGACTGTGTCCAGGTTAGATACCTCCTGGATACTCATTCCTGTATAGGAGTAGTGACTACCGTACTCCATAGCATTCTCCTATTCAGGGCATAACACCGAACAGAATCAGCCGCAGGATCGAGCGAGTCGGTTCCGTCGAGTCCTCATGAACCAGGATTCAACAGCCGAGCTAGACAAAGTGAGGCGTCCCGTGGCATGGTCACACTCGCTAAGTACGAGCCATGTCTGGTTAGTAGGGAATGTGACGATAGGTAATTTTCCTTTGAACATGCTTCGAGATATCGATGGAGAGATACAAGAGTTCGTTCTCAGTATGCTCAACAGCGTATATGTATCATTGCTTATTGATATCTAGCACATACGACCATAGGGTGTGGAAAACAGGGCTTCCCGTCCGCTCAGCCGTACTTAAGCCACACGCCGGCTGGTTAGTAGTTGGGTGGGTGACCACCAGCGAATCCCGGCTGTTGTATGTTGGATCACTTTCTTTTTAATTCATTGGGATTAGCGCCCTCGCTGTTCAGTTGTTCACCTGAACCTCTCTAATCTTAACCCGCCAAGCCTGAATGTTGACATGGCCTTTCTCAGCATGACTCACCTCCTAGTAGTTAACTAACTATTGCTTCCAGTGCATGTTTGCCCTGTTTGCACAACCCTAAGATAGTTAGTACTGATCTATCATTGTTTATTATGTTTGCATGTGTATAGTGTGTCTATTCAGCACTTCCTTGCAATGTATACTCCTTCTGCCCTCTCCATTGTGGCCACCTTAGTCATTATATCTTCCTCATTTCTTCTGACCTAAAATTGCTGCGTTATTTTCATTACCAGACTGACTGTCTTGTGTTCTGCAATTCATCACCCCTCTTTATCCCAGACAGTGATGATAATCGCGCAGCTGCCTTTAGTCTACTATCCAATACTCTGCAAACATGCTATCTTAATCATATCTTTGGTCAATCCTTTCTAAGATACGGTACTTTCTTTATTATGGACTCCGCGACTTGCTGTGGCCCCCTCTGAGTTGGGAATCACAAGGGATAGGGAAGAAGTTGCAAAGGGACTATTAGCCAAGTTGAGCTAAATCAAGTTTTCTTCTCCTTTCTTGCTAAACATCGCCTTAGGAGGCTGCAGAACCATGTTTCCCAGAACAACTCTTTGGATCTCTCGGAACAAAAGCCCCAGAACTCGCAAATATGCGCTGGAGGTTTTCTCACGACCCTTATCTTGACCTTCCAGTAATTGGTATAAGGATGACTGGAATCGTCTTCAAGATAGATGATGATCGTGTCGTCAAGAAAGCCAAAATTCATTCCCTTGAGCATCTCTCGGAACAAGACCGCGCGAATACAGAATAGGTGAATGATATAAATCGGGAAACTCTGGCACACGAGATTAAAGTCTATGAATGGCTGGGCAGCCACAGAGGGATCATTCCTCAATTTCGTCAGCTGCAGGTAACTGCAAACCGGTGTGGTAGATAGTCTATTGCCTGTTGCCAGGCTGGACAGTCCTCCCACAAGCGGAGGCGCGTTGGACAGTATTTCCAGTTCGTGGCAGTATTGTGCCTTATGTGGATTGAGATGGTGTTTTGACTTTCAACAACTGCGAGAGAAGGCTGTCGGAGGCATGAATAGATCCAGTAAAGGCTGCGGGCTGGATACAGCGTATACCCCTTCTGTGGTGATTGTCTGTTTGTTCCCACACTTCTGCCTCCTCCAGCATGGCCTAAATAAAGAAGCGGGACCAATGGATTTTGACTGTTAAAATTAGAACAATAATCAGAAGTTAAAGAAACAGCAAACAAGTATTTCCTGGGGATGCGCAGAGGAAGAAAGGTGATAGAATGGCCCTTCAAGAGGCCGCGGAAGACCCAAAGGTAATAGGCATGGAAGGGACCTAATTATATTGTCCATCCACATTTCTAGTACACTGCTGAGATGCAACAATCTTACCAACAGCATAGTCTCAGCAGATGATTGACTTCCTCGTCCCATTCAGCCAAGCATATCATGCTGAAACCCTCCCTTGTCTTTCCTTATGCGAGCATGGGATATCCTTGGTACCCGAGATGGCAAGATCTAGATCTAGTATGCGGGCATCCAATATTGACATCCTTACTATTCAAATATTCTCTATTATCTGAAGGGTGACCCCTCAGCTCACCCGGAAAAACCCTTCCCCTCTCCAAGACTGGATGCTCAGCCTCTGGCCGTAACAAGGGATTTATTTAATTATCCACTTATGTACCCAGCTGTCTACCAGGCTTACCTGACTATGCCACCTTGTATCTCCTTAGGAATGAAAGCTCATACTTCCAACTTCAAGTTGACGACTATTTTGTACTCTGGGAAACTTCTGCTCATACCATTGGTGGGCAATATCTGTTTACGTGATAAAGCTTCTTTGGGTCGGGCAGCAACGGGGCTCAAAAGAAATTGCATGACATAAAAAGCAGGCGGTCAGCTGGCATTTAGTTTTAAGTTCTGCGCCATACCCCCCTCCTGTCGGCCTAGTCACTTACGCGCTAGACATAGCTGTCGACTATCTACGAAGGTAAGTGATCATTTATATTACCTTGCCTCGTCAAGTCGCTTATTTCTTAATAAGTCCACCTTGGTTCATCCAGGCTTCCATGCAGTTCATACTCGTCGCACAATGTACAATGATTTCGATGTCTTACCACATATAAAGACATCTGCCCAGGCTCGTTTTGTTAGTCTCAAAGTCAGGATTCTCTTAGCTATTACTGCTTCCGCTCCAACGTACATATATTACTCGCCTTGGACATACACAACTAAACGTCAGTAATATGGCAAGGGGCCCTGGTTACATTATTATAAAGAGCTTGATGCCACAAGTCGTCACCAAGGAAGCTGCGGCCTTAGTTCTGGAATCACCACTGATATAGAAGCATGAGAAATACACCGAGCATGAGGTCCCAAAGATTTGTGTGAAAATGAAAGATGACTTTATGAAGGTGAGTCTGAAGAAGCTGCGTAATATAGGGGTGCTGACCTTTCATCAGGTAGTTAACAGTAGTATTATTGCCTCTCTAATGGACCTGAAGCCTGTTCTGAAAGCACCAAATGATCTCTTCACTGGCCAATTTCACGAAATGAACGCATAACCGACGAAGTTGAAGACAGCTCAGAAAGATCAAGTTTATGTCACGATAGCTCTAACGGACCAAGTCCTTCAAATGGCTGGTACACTTTTTATGAGGATTCGCATTCCTAAACATCACCTTTATCAACATTGGTTGCGCTTAATTTGAAGGCTGGTGATGCTGTGGTCTGGCGGGGCGATTTAGTATATATTCACTCATCTAGAGGAGGTGGAGTGTTTCTAACATTAGGTTTCCAATGATTTTATAAATCTAATGCATGTCGCCAGTGAATCCTCTAGTTCTGCTCTATCTGCTCTCTTGCGGCGCAGCTGACGCATAGTTATCAATTTAATTCAAATTATCATCCCAGTAAGACAACCTGGCTTGTGTTGTGTGGTAGTTATCTGTTTGCCTGAGTTGATTCCACGGAGTACATTATCTGTACAGTCCCTGCGACTAACGCTAGCCGCCCCTTCGCTAGCGTTGCAAGGGTTCGTAGGCTGATTATGCTGGTTCTGAGTCTGACAGAAGTATATATCTTGCTGCCTGAGGCAGATCCCTTTCACAAAGAACAGAAGATCCGTGGTTCGTGATTCATCTTCCTCCATACAACATCAATCGTCATACTTCCCTCTCACACAGTCTTCCTTCCCCCATCATCCATCCACCTCACATCCATCATCATCCCTTGTCCCCGCTCACATCGTTTTCGCGAATCCTCGCGCTATTATGGAACTCGAGTATTTCCCCAAAAGTGTATGGGTTGGGAAGCGCATTAACTTTCCGGACGCTGGTTCCTCGTGGACACTAAGGGAAAAACTGACAGAACACTCCTACCGTCTTTCCAAGAAAGACGCCGATGAATACGAAACTACCCCGAGTGCTGGTGCGACCTTTAAATGCCAGAATCTCGAGAACCCTGCCCAGGAGGCCCTTATGAAGATCCATATCCAAGTCCCTTACAGCGGCACAGAGTTCCACCCCTCAAGTGTTCGCGGCACTCAAGCATCTGCCAACATCCCAGAAGACTTGGAGGAATATATCAAGGCTCTTCAGCGCCTTCGTGACTGCAAGTTCACACCTAATCTTCTAGAGCATAAAGTGGATGTCCAAGAGGAGGACGGACTTGTTCCACGCGGCTGGAGCATCTATTTGCTCGCCACGGCCATCCCTGGAATTCCACTTGCTATAGAGGGCTCCCGGTACGAATATGAAAACCAACTCACGTTCCTCGTTCCAGACGGGGAGTTTTGGAAGAACCTGGATAGACCCACCCGAGATGAGATTAGAACTCAATTTGAAGCTGCCTACAAGTATGTCCGCACTAATCCACTAAAGCCAAGACTAATTCCTTCAAACAGCGACATCACTGCAAAGGGGGTCTCATGTGGCTTGGCAACGTTACGAGACATCTACTGGGATTCGAGTACCAACACCTTGTAAATTTGCTGCTTTCTATAATCATTTAGGATCATCACTAATTCATCTCTCATACAGGACGATCAACACCCAATTCAAGCCTTTCAGTGACAACTACGTCACCAAACGCCCTACTCCTTGGAGTACCCAATACTTCGGCGTCTATGGTTTGGCGCTGAGACCGCAAAGTCTTCGTTTCCCATACGATCTGACAATGACTATTCCACAACTGGAAAAGATCGGGTGGAGGTTTTAGCTATCAAAATGCAATAGAGGACAGCGTGGATTACATTCATTTACTTGTCGTGTTTATTTCCGGTTTGCATTGAATTCTGTTTTTAGCAGGGACCCAGAATAAAATCCAACGTTCTTCTCATACTCATCCGGTGCCCCCTAAACTGGTAGCTTAGAAGGTTCCCTTACGAGTCTCTTTCACCCACTGGGTCTTCCTCAAGAGGTTGTTGGCTCGGGATCTTCCCTGTTGGACCTCATCTACTAGAAGCCACATACCCATGCGGACGCTCACAGCCTGCGGGCCACGGTTCGTGTGCGGAATGGGCTCGCTGTATTGGAGCGACCAGGTTCCCGCTGCTTGCACCTGACGGAGAAAGATTGTGTCCTCATACGTCGACATAAACGCATACGCGAGCCCCAGATCCAGCATGTATTCTGCTATTTGTCCTAAGAAGCAATGTTACTCCAGCTCATTCGATTTGTTCATTAGACTCACCCAGAACCTGGCGGAGCTTGTCGTCCGTTGTACTTGTAACGGCATCCGTCAGGGAGTGTGCGTCCACCCACGGCACTTTGAGCTCTCCTATGAGCTCTGCCGGCCCGTTTAACCCCATGCAGGCGACGTCGGGCTGCTTGGCGTATGCTGTGGCCGAAGCTTTAAAATCCCCAAACCTCAGGGGGATCAATTGATCCTTGAGGATGGCTGTCATATCCTGGCCAACGTGTTCCATCCAGCGACCTTGGACCCCCCCTTCCTGTCCGACCAGCACATGCTCCCGAAGAAGGCTGGGTACCGAAGGGTTGGTCGTAGGGCGCAGCTCTAGCTGCGCTTTGTGGCGGCCCCAGTCGTGATTTTGGAAAGCCGCTAGGGCGTCGGCTGCGAAAGTCGTCCATGGTTGAAGGGTTCCGACAAATTGTACTGGATGGATAGCGCTTGAGACGGTATGATGATTCCCTCTTTGGAGGTCAGGAAGCGGTTCTTGCACCACAGTGATTGAGTGGATGATCACACATGGATGTTTTGCCATGGTGGAAAGGCTTTAATAAAAGAGACAGGAGTAAAAATTATCGCAGTGCAATAGCAACAAGAGACAGAAGGAGTCACATTTTTGCTAGTGCTGAGGTGACTAGCACCAAGTGCTCTGCTATAGTAGATTAGGTATTGAATATTCAGGAGGGTGAATACTAGCCTGAATCGACCCTGAAGGACAACTGAATAGGGTGGCCACGCGCCTAGAACACAATGAGTAGAGCCTGGTGAGCACCGCCATACTTAGGCTGTTGTATGTTTTTTGTTCACCCCTGAGGGTCAGGATCAGAGCCGTTGCAATAATATTCGCGATGATGGTGTACGGTAGTTCATCATTTACAATCTCCTCTTTGGGTTTGAGTTCAAGCTAACAACAAATGCAGAATGTCCACCTCGGGAAACGGATTGCATATATCTGGACTGGATATGAAAATGGAAACAGCCATTGATTACCATAGTTCTTCAACTGAGAAACGTGGACGGACTATTGATCGAACTCCTAGGACCTCCACAAAATTCCTGTCGAAACAATGGAAGCGTCCAGGGTGCTAGACCCAGTCAGGTTGGGATACATATCAGTTCAAACATGAACGCATGACGATGGAGCCTCGTCTCACCCCAGTAGGCAGAAATATTCGAGCAAAGCAAGAGGATATAGAAAACATCAATTCTTGCTTCCTTGCTTGCTCCAAATCTTCACGGCTCACACAATTACGATGTCTGGACAGCTGTACCTGCCATTGTCACTATCGATCGATCGTTCGCTCCCCGAGATTTCTGTCGGACTGCTTAGGAGACTTCTATCTGGGATGCTCCAACTTACCTTGGTGCTTTTCTGGATTTGCGCCATGCAATGAACAGACCTGCCGACGCAGTAGGAATCCGTCTGCGGAGCTGAGGTACTTTCTGCCACCATGGTTCTCCTCAACTGTCACTACGTTCAATCTTAGTCTTAAGCTCCGTCAGGTCCCTCTTAATATATCTGTTCAAGCTCGTAATAAAATCCGATATGACTCTCCAATCCTTGAACAACCTCTTGGATCACAATGAGTCCACTCATTGAAATGACGTCTTCATCTGGACCTAACAACCCCTGTCTATTGGTCCTTTTCGATCTCCATCCAGTTCATAAAGATGGCCATTCTTATGAGATTTGACAAAGCAGACATAATGGAAATCGACCTCATCCTCAGGGTTCTCAGGGACCTCTGAATCGCCCTGCAGAGCTACTGCCTTGTAGGCTGCTTCTAAATCGGCATCATCTTCAATGACCCTGGCGCGCTCCTTTGGATTTAATGAGGCGCACACCTCAAGCAGACGAGACAGGTGAGAGTCTGGAACTAAAGGATATAATTTCCGAGGAGTCAGTAGATTGTAAACATCAACAGCCCTTCCAGAGACAGGAGAAAAGCGAATTAAAAGTTTGTTAGTGGTACATTTCAGGGCTGCACAGTTTTTATCCCATCGATCACTATCTTCAAATGTTCTACTTATGGATAAAATCTCTCGCGTCGCCATTGCTAACCGCGTGAAGGATAGCGTAAAGCCCACAGGCATTGTTGATTGTCTGTTTGTACCACATAACATTCTCACCTTCCCCTGTCTCGTAATCATCTGGTATCAATCTCCCTTGCTCCTCTAGATTCCTCTCATAGTCGCTTGAAGTTGGAAAAACCAGAACCAGCGCCAGCGCAGGACGCGGGGTAATCGCAAGAAGCTCTGGGTCGTCTACTGACAAGACATCATGAAATGCTAGCACAGGCGACACGCCTATTTGATGAATAAGATGCGTGAAGAGTACTGGGTTGGATTCGAGTGGAATATAGTGTTTTCTGTAGGCCATTTGTTGTATAGGATATCTCTCGTCTGAGGTCACAGATGAATCGACGTTAAAGGTGTTGCAACTTGCAACCTCAAAAGGTACGAGGCCCTAGGCCATATACAGCGGTGAATATGGCGGAGAGCCAAAGTGCCCTAATTATGGAGGGCACAACAGTGACTGCTCCAGCATCAGCACGACCCTATACCAAGAAATAATAGGACGGACTGTCCAACCGAACTATTAAACAATATTATCTGATATATAGATTCTTGTTTGAGTCTGATGGGTACATACAACCATAGGGTGTGGAAAACAGGGCTTCCTGTCTGCTTAGCCATACTTAAGCCACACGCTAGCTAGTTAGTAGTTAGGTAGGTAACCACTAGTGAATCCTAGCTATTATATATTAGTATTTACTTAGTTTTTTTAATTTATTAGATCTAGCACCCTAGCTACTTTTTTTTACCCTCTTTACCTAAAGCTTATCTAAACTATCTAAATCTTAATACTACATATCTACTAACCCTGCTTAACTACTTACTACTAATATATCCTCTAATTAGTAGTACTCTCTAGGTATATAATATATAGATATAGCTTAGTTCTTATAGTCCTACTATATATTATTACTAATTACTATAGCTCCTATTAGCAGAGTTATTATTAATATAAATATAGTTAAATATACCTAAATATCTAGCCTAGACTAAACTACTATTCTTTAAAGTATTATTTAACTAAAAATAGAGATATAGGCTATTAATATAGCTATCTTTAAAAATATAAATTCTAGTTTTATTATTTCTAATTATAAGAGAGTATAACTAGTGCTTTAATAATCTTTAGAAAGAAAGGTTATTATAAAATATAAATATAGTAAATAAGCTAAACTATAACTTTTTAAAATAGGATTAATTAATTAATTAAAGTTAGCTTTAGTCCTTAGTTAGAGCCTTACTAGGTTAGTTAGTATATTATATTATAAATTTAATAAAGATAATACTTATCCTATCTCTATAATAACTATATTAGTGAGTTTACTATCTTATCTAGGGCTAGTAGAATAAACTATTAATTTAAAAGAGATATTATTAGAGTAAAGCTAATTAGTAATAATTTAACTATATTTTATTATACCTTATTATTAACTTATAAAGCTAAAGATCTTCTATATTCTAATATATTACTAAACTACTTAGATACTAAAGGTTAGTAATTTCTTAAATTCTTTTAATATCTTTAATATTAAGTAGTCCTTAAAAATTTATCCCTAGATCTTATTATAGTATTATTTATAGTTCCTATATTCTATATTTTACCCTTAGTTAGTAGAGGTAAAACTCTTCTTAATAACCTTTTAAAACTTAACTTAACTATTAATTCTAATAATTTTAACTTTAATAAGCTCATTCTATTATTTATTATAGTATTTAATAAGAAATTAGATAAGATTATATAGAATAAGGTCTATACTATAATTACTAAATTAATATCTTCTCTAAAGTTACTTTCTCTCCTTAGAGAAACCCCTTATATATATATTATAAGTAGCTTTATTAACTCCTCTAAATATAGAAAATATATAGATACTATGCTAAAGAAGGAACTAGGACTAATCTATATTAGGATATCTAGCTTTTATAATACCTACTTTAGTAATATTAATAGTCTAGAAGAGATAAGTATTACTATATTAAGAAGATATAAAGAAAGATAGAATCCTTTATTTAGTAAAGAAACTAGATAGTAGGACTAGTCTAAAAATACTAAGGAAAAGAAAGTTTTAGAGTAGTTTACTAAATAGATAAATATACTCTATAAAATAATAATTAGTAAGGGTTTTACTATAGCATCCTATTATATAGTTTTAGTATAGCCTAGTTAATTATTATAAGGGTCTATAGCTAATTAAAAATTAGATATTAGCCTTATATATAACTTAGATATAAATAATTATATCTAATATTACTAGTCTTATATTTTAGTCCTAGGTAAACTAAAAAGTAACCTAAGTACTAATACTACTCTAAAAATATAATATAATCTTAAATACTATATAAGAAAGGTGCTTACTATCTAAGATATATATTAATTTACTCTTAGCTTTATACTTTATAGGTTGATTATGTAGCTCTAGGAGTTTAACTATATAAGATCTATTATATCTATATCTTTTAATATAAATAATAATAGACTTTAATTTATTTTAATAATCTTAGGGTTTCTTAAGATGACTAGTAAATAATTAGGTTATAATCCTAGTATTATATATATTAATAGTAAGAAGTATATTAATATCTAGTATAATAGATAGATAGAGTATCTTATTATTAATAAGCTTATAAAATAGGTACCCTATATTACTAGTAAAGCTATAACTTACTAGAAAGTATATTATAAAGGAGACTAGTCTAGGGCACTACTTATTATTAAAGACTTATAGTAGTATCTAGAGTAAGAGGAGGAGGGTAAGCTCCTATAGAAAGTAGTAAAGAATAATATAATTAATATAACTAGATACTACTATTATAAAACTATTTAAATATAGAGAAGGTTAGATAATATATCTAGTAGTATCTATAAAGGGCTTAATATAATAAGATTAATAAATTACTAATTAATATAACTTAATATCTCTAAGAAGATAAGTAATACTACTAGAGTAGTAAGGAGTTAATCTTATAGAAGTATAAAGCTTAAAAGATCTTCTAGCTATACTAATATAATATTATCTACTAGTAAATAAACCTATTTAATATCTTTAACTAAAGGAGAAAGGAATCCTACTATATAGAATAGGATATATTAATAGGTTATTATATATAACTTTAGAAAGCTAATTTATAAAGCTTAATCCTAAAGTTCTATACTCTCTATACTCTAAACCTATATAGAAGGTATACATCTCTAACTATTATATATTTAACTACTAACTAACTAAGGCTATGAATTATTATATATATAAGTAGGATATCTATAAGAGGATATCTTAACTAGTAATTTAATTATTAGGGACTAAGAAGACTACTTAATATAGTTAGCTTTTCTAATTAATTTAGACCTAGCTATTAAGGAGCAGAGAGAAAAGCCTTCTAGTACTAAAAGAAAAACTAGGACTAGGGCTTTTATAGCTATTAGATTATTACTAGGAGAGAGATATTCTTTTATATATAATCTAGAATCTTTCTTTTAGGTGCTATTTTAGATATGCATCTATTATAATAGACTAGGAGATAAGGATAGAGTTATACTATATTTTAATAAGTAGAACTATATAGATATAAAAGAACTAGTAGAGATAAAGAAAGGAATAGTAGCCTATAAGGGTAACTTTCTAAGATTAGTAGGTAAGAACTTTAGTAAATATTACTAGCTACTAAGAGCTTAGATTAACTAGTTATAGAAGGTTATTTTCCTAAATAGTAGGAGATAGGAGAAGGAGAATTAATTACTTACTTTATAGATAAAAGATATACTTTAAGTAATAGTGAAAGATAAGAAATCTAGACTTATAGATATAATATAAAAATTTATAATATTTCTATCTATAGTAGCTTTATAACTTTACTAAGTTAACTATATCTATACTAATATAACTCCTATCTAAAGACTATAAGAGTAGGATTTCTATTAAAATATAACCCTCTTATCTATAGTATAGCTTAAAGGTCTTAGTCCTATCCCTAGTACTATCTAATATATAGATATTAATTAGTTTATAATTTCTAATAATATATAATATATTATTTATACTATATAATACTTATAATCCTATAGCTTAGGTAGGTCTAAGTACTCTTAATCTAATATCTCTTAATTATTATTTTATCTCTTATAGATATTTATATAGAGAGATATTCTCTCTTACTAATCCTATTAAAGAAATTAATATATAGTATCTTATTTAAATATAACTATATATATATTATAGATTTATTATATATAGCCCCTATTTCCTTATAACTCTTTAAAGAATTATATCACAGCCACTATTATAGATAACTAAAATACTATTAATAGCTAATCCTACTAAAAGTATTAAAGTAATTTAGAAATTAAGTGACCTTACAGGCCTAATATTAAAGTACTAGACTAAAATTTTTATATTTTTTTATTCTCTTTATCTACCCCTTTCTAGTATAATTATAGTCTTTAAGCTAACCCCTAGGTTTAAACCTATAGTTACTAATATACTAAGCTTAGATAAATACTCTAAGGTCTTCTTTCTTAATTATCTTATTATTATCTATAGTAATCTAACTTTACATAGATCTTATTATCTCTTAAGCTAAAGATAGTATCTAAATATAAAATAAAAGAACTTATTTACTTTTATCTATTAAGTTTAATTAGGAAGTCCCTAATAGTTCTAATATCTCTCTATATTAATAGGACTATATATATTAAAGGGAAATCTATAAATATAGACTTATACTATTATATCTTTTAGTAATCTAATATTAAAGTATCTAAAAATAGAAGACTTACTATATTAATAATCCTATATAAGTAGACCCTGGAAGGTTATTAGCTAGATAACTAGAGAGGATACTAAATATATAGTACTAATATAAAATTAGTATATTCCTTAATTAATAGAAATTAGTAGATTACTTTTCTATTTTATTCTTATACTAAGGATATAATATATTATCTTAGTAAGGATTATTAAGAATAATCTAAAAGAGACTAGAGATTAATAAGCTCTATTTATTTATAAAAATTAGAGGGGATTAGTAAGTATATTAGATAGTATATAAAAGCTAAAATAATAAATAGTAATTATAAGCTATATTTAGACTAATATATTTATAGATATATATATTAGTTTATCTATACTAGGAGGAGAAACTATATAGATAATAAGTCTATTATATATTACCTTCTATAGTGTTGAGTATGTGCATTATATTAGTAGAAAAAGTAATATAAGTTCTATTTAGGAGACTATTATTTAGAGGTATTTAATAGGTAATATTTTATATATTACCTATACTAACTATATTACTAGTATATATACT